AATGTGTAGGGTCTACAAATAGTTGATAGATTTAACTCAAAAGCAGAAATGAGTTCTGGAGTGAGCACAAAAAGTGAGATAGCCGACTCTAAAGGAAAATATTCTTCACAAATGCTTCTCAAAAAGCTGTCAAACTATCAACTGTTTCAGCTAAATCCTCAGAGTAATTTGAACATGGATGAGGTGGAGGAACGAACACGAATATTCATCGCCACCAGGGTTGGTTTCCTCATCTTGTCTTTATATTTTAATCGTGCGGAACAACGTTTTGTTTCTGCCTCATCCTCCTCCCCCTGCTCTGTAGGAACGAATGAAAAAAGCTTTCCAAGAAATGAGGTGTTAAACGCACCAACACGCTGTAACATCTCTGACAGCATCGTGCAGTGATTAGATAGTGTGGGCCCTTTGTCCGCTCAGCTGAAGTGGGCGGTTGGTAGACAGAGATTGGATTTGACATTTTACCGCGCGATACATATTTCAAATATTCTGCCGCAGTTTTTCGGGACAGTGATGGACAGCAAGCGCTGGCCTGTTTTTCGCTCCCGTATTAGCGCCATTAGCGGCCCGATGCTGGGCGATCAGAAGCCCGGGACGTCGGTCCCTGCTGGAATGATGATCCTAACCGTTTGGCTAAGGCGGATGTTGGGCGTCGCTTTGGTGAAGCGAAGCGGAACCTTTGTGTCCATTTCTGGGTGATTTATTCCTCTAGTCGAAATCAGATCAGTAAACCTAAACTTTAACCAGTTGTTACACGCTCCCAGCCGATGAGGCGCTTCACAGACGACTTACCTCGGAGCCCTTTAAGGTGACTGGCATTTGATATTTAACGGTGGACTCTGTAATGTTGCATTTTATGCTGATCAGGTGCAGCAGATAGAGCCCCTCTCTCCCTCCAGTGGTTCAGGCCCATTGATTTGATGACACATCTGATGTTCTGAGCAAGAACATACATTTGTTTATTTATTTTTCTAAATATGAGATGCTAAAAATGGAAGGAAAAAAATAAACCAGGGGGTAAAGTGCACTTCATCTGCATTGAGGAATTTCAGAGGTCTCAGTCTCTCAGTTGTCTCATTCTCTTCCAAGAACACTTCTCCTTCCTGTTTCACCTCTGGCACGCCGCCCAAAGTACCCACAAACCACGGAGGCCAAGGCTTAAAATACACACATGGTAATTTGCACTACATTTCAATAGGACTCAACCAGCAGTATATATAGCCCTGCAGCCTGAGCCCTGCTCCTCAGCGAGCGCCCCGTCTCACCTCAGATTCCAGCTAAAAGATGGGCTCCCAGTGTCCTTTGTCACAGAATTTGAATGCGTAAAAGAAGCCGGATTTAGACTGGACATGCCCCCCACCCCCGATCAAGAGTGTCATGAAAATGAATAGGAGGGGTTAGAATATAAGCTCTGCCAAGAATGTGTACTGATCAGATATAAACTTTTACTTTGCTGTAAACATGATAGGCCATCAAACTTTTTAAGTTCATAAAAAAGTATATATGCTGCCCACTTTACTGGTTTAGCCCCAGTGATCTCTCTTTTTTTTAGTTGTCCTGTCCCTTCAGCTACCAGTGGAAGCGACACCCCGACAAAGTTGAACTGACACGCGCCGCAGCGTTTGTGTTATCCATTAATATATTTTTGCATTCTCCTGTGGTGGAGAGCTAAAAAGATTTGAGTGAGAGGAAGGAATAAATCATGCTGGCGTAAGAGATCAAGCAAGTGACAGATTATGCAAAAAGGAAAGGGAGGCGATCCTGATCCAGCATGTCCCAATTAATGGAATTACCTTTCTCTCCGGGAAGACTCTTAGTCATTTGCTGAGACGTGAGCCAGCCCGTGGTGCATCTCTGCCACCATATTGTCCAGCCAGTGCTTAATAAGGCAGCCCTGACCACTGGGCGTTCTCATTAGCATAGCCTGCGGCCGTGGCTAGCCCCGCCAGGGCTCAGCCGGACACTTAATTACCAACACAGCTCCTTCCTCACTCCCTCCATACTCCCCGTGTTCTCTTCCTACATCCTTACCCTCTGCTCAGCCCCCTTAACCTGCCCATAAAGACACACGCATGTTCACGTACAGCCCTCACCTTCCCAACCTCGGCGGGAACGGTGGGCTAATCATTTTGGTGATGTAAATGTGATGGCTCTGGTCTGCGCATGTTGTGGCAGTCTTTTATGTTGCCTCGCTTTGTGGGGGCTTTGCGGTCAGCAGTCTTTGAGATTTTAGTGACTCTCTGACCCGCACTCCTTCTCCCTCCATCTCTCGCTCTCTCTCTCATTCTTATATTAGCTCATGGGCATGACTCTCCTTTTGACATCGACGCAGTATTGATGCACCCCCATCCAACCTTAATCGGCTAATGGCCTCTTCTTCTTGCCTGCCCAGCCAAATCAACCCCTCCCTTAACCATCCCTCTATCTGTCCCCTCTCTCCCTCGCCTTCCTCGTTTCCTTTGCCCTACACTGCACTGGCCCGGGGTCAGTGACGGCAATTTTCGTGCCTGGCTAAGCAACAGAGCCGCTTTGTGTGCGTGTGTATGTGTCTGAATGAAATCAGTCAGCATCCTTACGCAGTCATATGACGGATGACCCCTTGACCCACCTTTGTTGCTGTCTTATGCTCTTCTTTCCCTTCTCTAAATCACCCTATCCCCTTCACAATGTCAATAAGATAAATGGAAATCTGCTTGCACTTTACGAATTATAGACAGACAGATTATATCTTTTTAGCTGTAGTAACTGTATTTACTGACTCAGTTCTTGGGCATTAGTGTGTTTATGCGTCCCTGGCGAGGCTCAACACTTCCTTTTTGCCTATCAGTTATGCAGACTGGGCCCGCATTGTGACTTCTGAGATGTCCTTCTTTATCTGTAATACGGTGGTGGTGCTATGCATCCCCGTCCTCCCAGGCTGCACCAGTGAATCATTTGTGTGTGAGCGGTAACAGATCCAGACCGCTGAGCCCCCTGCAGCTGTTTGTCTCAACATGCAAGTCATATCCGCCATTACACTGCTAAATGGTCCCCTTTCAGTGGCAGGCGCTTGCCGCCTCAGCCTGTATCTCCATGTCTCCATCACACTGGGGGTGGGGGGCGGCGGGAGTTACTGTAAGCAGCCCGGCCGCTGTTCTGGGGGCAAAGCAGTTTACTGTGTCGGAAACAATCCAGAGGAGGGAGGGCTCGAGCGTTTAGTCATTTTGTGTTTGCAGTTTCACCAGCAGTTTGCTCGTGTTTTGGCTGGTGCATGCGAGGCGGCCATCGGCGGGGTGGAATACGGAGCTCCGGCGGGGGCTGGGCCGGAGGTCGCAACCTCGGAAAATGCCATTCACCCACGGGGTCGGCTCGCCCGAGACACACAAAGCCATGGTAGAGGAGTTCATCGCTCAGAAGCCAGAAGCCTAGCGTCCTGCTGTGCCTCACCTTACCCTGAGGTTCACTAGTGAACCTAGGCTGCAGGAAAGTTCAACCTCAGAGCTGAAACCCCGGGTCAACAAAGTGGCCATTCCCCTCTAACCGCATTACTGCCATTAGTGACTCTTGCTGCTTTTCACATGTCACATGGAAATGGGTCAAGCCTTGCCTTGCGTGACTCACTGGCTCAACTTCCATCGCTTTGTCTCCTGTTAACCCCACTCAGGTGGCAAAAAGGCTATAGGGATTATGGGAAATGGGGTTCACAATCAGCACGTTTTGATGGATTCATTCACCTTCCTAGCATTGATCGGAATGGAGAAGTGTCATGAGCGGTGTGTTTATCGGCATCACCTTTCTAACGGGGTGGGGTGGAGGGTGGGGGGGGGGTTTTGGGGCATGTAGACATGTAAAATGTAAGAGTGGAGAGTGTGTGTTTGGGAACTGCTCGGTGTTGAGAAGATATGTTGAAGTGTTTGATATCTGTTGCAACAACAGAGCAGCGGTCATGATGGGTTGTGATTTTTGAGCACCCTTGTGGACTACAGTGAGCCACGCTGGCCAGATGTCAGCCAACTCTAATAATCCCAACAGGTTGCTGGGTTTGGTTGCCTGGCAACCCCTTTGCCAATGCCTGTAAACAGAGAGCAGACCCACCAGGCTTCTGTTAGGGTCATTAGGGTGAAGACAGTTTTGGTGCAAGTAGATATATGTATGCTTGTGTTAAAGACATCTTTTATAACGCTTTCATTGCTTAATGCCCCCCCCCCCCCCCCCCCCCCCCCCCCCCCCCCCCCCCCC